ATGGTGGGTCTTATAAAATGATTAAAATTCTTTTTGTATAACTACCCCTCTCCCCCTTATATCATTTTTTTGCTGTTATATATCCTCCTGTAAAGAATTAGCATTTATTTTATGAACTTAAAAAATAAAATATTTAGAATAATTATAAAAAAAACCTTAAAAAATAAATGACTTTAAGATTCTAATTTATGCGTGTTTATAGAAAATCAATTAATTAGAACCATTAAATACCTTTTATTTGTTTAATCATACACCAAATATCATAAATATTGTCATAATTTGATTTTTTATTTAAGATAATATGAATTATGCTAAAAATTAATTAATTTATCTATTCACACGTAATCTAATTTTATTTGTTTGACCTTTCCCACCTAAGGTTAAGCTAATTAAATATCATAATTGATTTTTTGACGTATTATCTGAAAATTATTTAAACAAATAAACAATATTCTAATTTCCTTTTTAATTTGGCTTAGTTTAATCATAATAAATTATAAATATCTTTTTTTCCTTCATTAAATATTCTAATTTCTTTTTTAAAAAAGCTAAAATAACTAAAAATTGATATAAAAAATGGTTAATTAGTTTCATTAGTAGTACCTTTAATAATCAGTAATTGTTTTCATATTAAATAAAATACAAAAAATATAATATTAAATATTAATATTCTATAATTTTATTTGTGTAAAAATAATAAATAAAATAATTTGTTAGTTTTCAGATATTAATGTTTAATAATATAACAAAATTACTCACAAATTAATTAAATTATTAAGAAAATTTTTTTTTTATCAAAAAAAAAAAGTATCTCTATTTTATTTAAACACAAGAATTTAGCTCCTTTATTAAATTAATTATAATTTTTTTCAATGTAGGATATTATAGGTATTGGTAACGGTAAGCCAGGGGTAAAAAAAAATTGTTTATCGAAATCTAGAATTTTATTCAACTCCCATATTCATAATATGTCTCTTATTTATTTAATAAAATAAATATCATAACTAACCTTGCCCTTATTTTAATTATTTCAAAAAATAAATTAACTTAAAAGATAAATTGTTAATTAATTATTTATCTTTTTTAATACAAGTGAGAATCAAATGGGATCATTAGGTGTATCCGTATTATGCAATGCAATAACTAACTACATTCAGTTATTAAATTTTCAACTATCATTTTGGTATTACTAATCTTTAAATTTTTCTAATCTTTCGTTTATTTAATTGAAATTAATAGAAATAATTTCATCAAAATTAAATTTTACTTGTTTTCTGCTCTCAAAAATTTAAATATAAAAATTTATAGCAACAATTTGATATTTAATGAAGGGGCATCATACATAGGCTCAGCTCTAACAAAATGTCACAATCTCTCTAATCTAACTCTCAGTTTATAGTAAAAAAAACGATTTCTATTCTATTAAGTGGAATCAATCATATATTTTTCAATTAGATTTGTTTCTTTGTTTACATAAAAATACTTTAACTTTTATTCAATTATTAAGAGCTCAATAAATTAAATTTATTATTTAAATTTTAAAAGGCGGACTTAAATTGGTGATGAAGGCATTTTAGATTTAGGTTCTGCTTTATAAAAGTGTTCTAATATCACATTTTTGGAACTTTTTCTAAGGTGATAAAAATTTATTTAATTTAATTTTTTCCTTTATTTTTTAAATAACATAATATATCTTGTTTTTATTAAGACCCCCATACTTTCATAAAAAATGATAATATAAATAAAATTTTATTGCTAATTTTAATTTTCTAATTTAATAAATAAATAATCTGCTAACATAAACAAGTTTATGGTATGTGAAGTTGAATAGAATTAATATAATTTATTGATTTATTTTTTTAATTTAAAATAGATATTTTTTTTAATTAAAATTTTTGAATAAAATGTCATATTAAATTCACTGAAAATAAAAAATAAATCTATCAAATTTATTAAAAGCCATAATTAGATTGGACCACAAGGAGTATAAAGTCTTATATAATCTGTATTAAAATGTACGAAAATATAAATATTCACTCTCGATTTGAAGTAAAATTTATTTATTTTATTTTATTTATTACTATATTACTTAAAAATATAATATGTAATTATAAATAAAATAAAATATTTTTTATTTTTAAATTTAAATTGTTTGTTTTTTTTTAACAAAATTTCTAAGCTGGAATTTAGTTGGCAATGAAAAGGAAGGCAGATTAAATATAATTCCTGAAGATGTATAGAACTCTAGTATCTATGAGTTTAATTTAAATCTTTGGTAAATATGCTTACTTTCTATTTTTCAAATTAAACATATTTATTTGCTTT